GATTGCGCTACTGCTGTGGATAAAGCCTTAAAGGAAATTTATAGAAGAAAATGCATCAAAATACCTCACTTCAAAAAGAATCGTGTCTGAAAATATCAACTCAGAATGGCACAACAATTAGATATCCAAGGAACATAATACTTGAATGATTTGCCACGACATAAGAACAAGAAGAAGGTATGATATTCCTAGTGATTAAACGTGAATTTTCCCAGTGCTCTTGCAAGAATCTTTGCTTCATTTATGTAATCGTACTTTGTTGATATGCCCTATGGCTAAACGTTCGTTAAATACATAATATTTTCCATATTTTACATGTTTGTTTCGAGGAAAGGACTACAACTGCCAAATAAAAACGCATTAACTTAGGCCCAAGGTATCAGTGGACATATCAAACGAAGATAAGACAACAAGCGATAACGGATTTCGATTAATAGGCGTACCTATATCTTACCATAATTTCGGCTTTGTAACCAATACAAAATATTTCAAAACCCTTGATAAGCAGAGCAGATATTTACCAAAAAATGTTAGTTTTCTAATTTTACGCGGCAAATATCATGCAATAATGATGTCAATTATACCTACATTCCCTGTCAATTATACCTCTGGACTAATGCGATAAACTGTAGTTTAGAGGTCATTGCCCTGGGCAGTAAACTCGGGCAGTAAACTTTTGTTTCCTGCCCGGCCTATCAAATAACATGGCATTTTGACACCGACAGTTTCTTGGTCATAGTTTTACTGCCCGGCTCGTGCTGTGCTTAAGACATACCCCGGCATGTAGGAACATGGTTTTGTGCACCGCATCAAGCCAGAAGTATAACATGCCCGTATGACGAATATTTCCTGAACATTTACCATAACAATCATGGCAGTTGCACGATCACGCAGATAATTCGAATAAATCATGATCGCCAACCAGATTAGCTTTTACAGCCCATACCTATATGTCCATCAGTTAGGTTTAAAAATACAAAGAGTTGAATTAAAGGCAACTAAATGTATTTATATAAAAAAAAACACCGACCGCAAAACATCTGCTCACATGTGCAATGTGCATGCACAGGTCTGGCCCACTTACATTGCGCGCGCAGGGGAAGGGAGGCGTCTCGACCGCGGGTATAGGCACGATTAGTGCGTCCCGCAGGCCAGAGGGGGCCTCACTCACAGCACGAACACCGCAGTTCACAGATTTCACTATTCACTGCACAAATTCACTTTTTACACATGTCTACACTTGTTTCACTTTTTAGAAGAGTGGCTAGTTTACGTGACCGACCCACGCGACAAGACAGCCATTTTTATCTACCTCGTGTCAGGTCAGAGGCAGGACGGTGTCAGTTTGCGTACCGAGCCCCACAGCTATACAACAGTGTGCCGGAACGGCTGACTACGCTCAGCACGGACGTCTTCAAGCGGAACTTATGGCGTACTCTGAAGTGAGAAGCGACTACTACTGTTAAAAGTTTTTCGCTTATAACTTTTGATCTAATTAAGATAGAGCAAAAAGAAAAGCACCAGTGAGCTCAGCACGTCAAGGCGCGTCGAATGATATACTTTTTGCTTACTTACTTGTACTGAAAATTTCCCTAATTATTAAGTAAACTTTAATTAATTAAGTTCAAGTTAACCAAATTGCATCATATCGCATAGCATTGGATTCGGCTGATCACCAGGAACACAATGACACCATTTTTAAGCTTTAGCGTCACTGTGTGCCACGTTATTGGCAAAAACGTCATTTGACCTCAGTTGACCTCATTTGACCTGACCCATGGATAAGTACACCAAATAAAGAAGGACCAAGTGACATGCTGTTAAGTACTGTGGTTTCAAAGCACAAAAGTGGTAGAACGAAGCGGATATCTCCAATATTTTCCGAATTGAATATTTTCCCATAGGCTTAGATAGATTAGATAGACGTATTTACAACACATCCACAGTGAAACGTGGCTTTTCGGTGTTGCACGTCAAACATTGGTTCATCACAATAGGTTGGTTCATCACATTGGTTCATCCCCACTCCAATCATTCGGCGAAATGACCTCATTAACATTACGACGTAATGACCTCTAACTGACCTCAGGTCAGTGACATAAAAAACGAACTATATGTTACACAACTCGGTGAACTTAGCACATCCTGAAAGTTTGAAGGAAATCAGTCCAAAACTGTGAGTTGGACAGGTGCATAAAGAAAAATGAAATTTGATCATGACCTTGTACCGGGTTTTCTGACCTGGTGACCTGACCCAAGGTCTCCGGGACCTGAAATTTTTTAGGTCAGATGTAAGAAGGCTGCCCCATAGGCTGTGCCAAATTTTGCGTTTTTTTTCACTATCTTTGAAAAACCTTAGGGGGTTGCATCACCCCCTGCCAGGGCGAGGGTTAAATTGATAAACGCGAGGGTAGTGAAAGTTTGGTCGCGATCAGCCGCTTTTTACGCGAGTTTTTCGCGGAAAACCGAGAGAAAACCGTTCGACCCCCCCCCCCCTATACGAGCGAGGGTTAAAGTATTGAATATCCCTTTACCAATTAGTCTGCGAATACCCAACCTAATGTGAATGTGAAAACTTACTCAGTACGTAAGTATAGTTGACTACAAAATGATGTTCCTTTTTTCACATGCAATTATTTGCCTGGAGTGGTAGGCTGTGCCGCATCACACGGGCTGAGTTCACAAATTATAGCTTTGTCCCTATGCTCACAATCGACACGCTTAATTAATTGCGTGATAAACGGCACAACTTAGCGCTCCGGTCAACTGATAGCTTCTGAGGAATGGAACATCATTCTGTAGTCGACTATACATGCAATTCAGTTTCCAACGCTCGGGTCTTAACGCTCCGGTAGATGCGCTGCGGTAGATGATGCCCGTCAACCAATATAAAGTATTTACGGTGATTTGCGGGCGTATGTCACTGTCGCACAGCATTTTCTGTGAGCTGACCGTGTTCTCTATCCTCCCGCCGACACAGGAAGGTCAACTAAGGACGAATGGTGAGTGAGATGTCCCGTTGGGAGTTGGTCGGGTATGTCACGGTCAATCCAAGCCTCTCCTTCGGTTTTCGCGCCCTCTCGATGGCCTGTTCGCAGCCCGTTGTGGAGCTACCTGGGTATACTACGTAGCTTTGTAGATAGACTGTCTTACCCTGTTTACATGAGTCATTCAGCCTAAACGGAAATATCCGATTAGCCAGGGAACGGAAAAATGCGATTCGGTGTCCCCGTATACATGAACAGCGCGGCGGCCTTATCGGAAAAATCCGTTCAGGAATGGATAATTACCTTCAGGCGCGCACACAGGATTTTTGAATGGGGGGGGGGGCACGACCTTCGAACTGGGCCCCCCATGCCGAAGGGCCCCCCCCAAAAAAAAAATACGGCCCACGGGGCTATATTTCGGTTGGTTTGAAGCTTGAGCAATTGGTTTGTCAATGCATGGTAAAACAATTATTTCGGTACCAGCTTAGTTTTCAAAACATATATATTTTTACGCTAGGCTGTTTTTTTTTTCTCAAATGCGACTCAGAGCCGGTACATATACCTAATCATCTAATTTATTACGTAAAACATTTCATTAATAAACATTTTTGCAGGTCCCTCAGAAATCAGCCCCGGGCAGCGACTGACTGCCGGCCGGCCGACCGGCCCCGGGTGGCTAGAAGCAGGGGCCGGTCACTGTTTGGCCCAGATGTGTAGGAGCGGGAGCAGCACTCCTTTTTCACGTATATTCGCATATTTTTTTAGGCACATGGACATGAAATGTCATTATATCTGATACGATGCGGGATCACAGACTAGAGATCCAGCTTATAACTTATATTTAATGCTTAACCAATGAATCAAATCAACAGGACTATGTACGATGCATGTCGGACACGTACCCAGAATTTCGCCCAAGAGCGGGTCACCTGCTGGTCACCTGACCCCGGGCCCGCGAGTCACCCGGGCGCCCGGGGTCAGCTCAGGCAAGGATGTACCCAGGACCTTTCGATGGGAGGAGGGAGGCACGGTGGGTCCAGTCTCACTGGCAGACGGGTCTCTTTAAAACGGTCTCTGCATGAGAAAATGTGGAAAATTGGCAAGCAAAAGTATCATTTATGCCCGAGGAGTGTCAAGTGTGCCTAATGTACACTAATGCCTAATTTACATGGTATTTTACGAGCGAGCGAACCCTCTGCTACCAACTGGCGCCGCAGGGCCCCTCGGTTTCGAAGGAACCCTAAACCCGAGAACGGGCACGTACCCCCTCGCCCCCTTGCTATGTCACTGAATCCAAGTGATGGGACCCTTTAGGTAATCAGGGGCGTTTCAGATGACCAGGGGTTTTCAATTGATCAGGGGCCCACCAGGTGACCATGGGCCCCTCTGGTAACCAGGCGCCCCTTAAGTAACCAGGGACCCCATCAATAACCAGGGCCCCTCAGTAAACGGGGGCCACTCAGGTAAGTGTAGGAGTCCCGCAGATAACCAGGGCCGGCAAGGTTTCTCAGGTCCGTTTTTTGACAAGGCTCTTATTGACTCAGGTGCGAGCCTTTGGCCATCAGCAGAGGGCCCTTTCAAGCCTTTTGAGGGCCGTTTAACGTCTCTTGAGTTCCCATTGAGGCCTTCTAAGGGCCCTTTGAGCAGTCGAGGGGCCTTTGAGGCTGTCACGGGTTTTCTATGTATTTTTACCAATACTCGGCAATTATCAAGCACCTAACACTGTTCTTCCAAAAACTCCCCCAAGCCAACATCCCTCTCCTTCCCGATTTTCTCTGGTCTAAATCTCTCGCGACACAGTTATACATCACGTGACATGCCGCTTGAGATCTTTCACCAATATAGGTTACACAGAGCGTGACATCACTCCCCCTTTCCAGAAAAAACTTGTTTTTTTATACCCATCATCACCAATCTTTGTCGACATGCTCATAACCACCACCGCCATGACCCGTAACGCGGAGATAAGACGGTGCGTTCTTCATTTCTTCATCTACCCGACTCGACCATGCTTCAGACGGCGCGACTCATGTAGTCGGCCTCCACGTTGTCCGCTCCCTTGATGGCCATGATATGCATGCGGTAGCTCTCCAGGAACAGGGCCCACCGCATAATCCGATCGTTCAGCAGTTTTGCCTTGTTGAGGAAGACCAACGGCTGGTGATCAGTCTGTAAGACAAATGGCCTCCCGTACAAATATAACTGGAACTTCCTCACGCCCCAGACCACCGCCAAACACTCTCGCTCCATCGTAGAGTACTTCCTCTCACGTTCTGATAACTTCTTACTTGCGTAAGACACCGGGAAGAGATCACCGTCATGACTCTGTAGCAGAACGGCGCCGATGCCCTTATCAGAGGCGTCCGTCCGTAAGACGAACTGCTTGTCCATTTCTGGCAGTCTTAGGATCGGCCTCGATGCTAGCAGTCCCTTTAGACCATCGAAGGCCTTGTCCTGAGCCGCTCCCCACTGCAGCACCCTTGGTGACCCCTTCCGCGTCAGGTCTGTTAATGGCACCGCCACTGCAGCGAAGTCGGGGATGTAGTTGCGGTAGAAGTTGGCCAGCCCGAGGAAAGACCTCAGCTCAGTCTTAGTCCTCGGCTTCGGCGCTTCCAGGATCCTGGAGACGTTGTCTTCAATGGCAGTGACGACCCCCCGCCCGATACGATGTCCGACGAACTCCACGCACGCCATTCCTATGACACACTTTGACGGTCTCGCCGTCAGTTCTGCTTCTTGCATGCGGTGAAGTAGGACATTCAGAGTGGACACGTGTTCCTCCCAGGTCTTGGTATGCACCAGTATGTCATCGATGTACGCAGTTATGTTGGGTAGACCTTCCAACAGCTTCCTGACCCCCCTGACTAGTGTTGCTCCCGAGTTGACCATTCCAAATGGCATGCGGAGAAACTCATATTCTCCATCAGGTGTGACGAATCCTATCTTCTGCACGTCTTCTTCCCTGACAGGGAACTGCCAGTACCCCCGGCTGAGATCGATCTTGCTGAAGTATCGATCTTTGCCTAGGTCCTGGAACACGTCTTCGATCTTGATCATCGGCTCAGGGTCTACTATCGTTACTTGATTTAGCTTACGATAGTCGACACACACGCGGTTGCTGCCATCCTTTTTCCTCACCAGTACCACGGGGGCCGCGTAAGGTGACCGAGACTGGCGTATCACTCCCATATCGAGCATGTTCCTGATGTCCTCGCGGAGGGACTCCCTCATGCTATATGGCAAGGGGTAGGGCTTGCATCGGATCGGCTGTGGGGACGTCACCTCGATCCTGTGCTCAATGAGTTTGGTGCGTCCGGGTTTGTCTGAGAACACTGCATGGTAGGTTTTGATCACCTCTTGCGCTTGCAGTCGCTCCTTCCTTGACAATCCCTCCCCGATTTGTACGTCTGCCAAAGATTCGTTGCCTCCTGGAACCACAAATTCCAGTAGGTCGTCATCCTCGATGGCTTCTTCTGGGGCTGCCTCGCTTCTCTCGATCACAGCCACTGCCACCACTTCCATGAGTGCCCCGCTGACACTGGCACTGACGTCTGACCTGTTCTCCTGAACGGTGCGGTCCATGTAGCGTTTCAACATGTTGATGTGGTAGGTTTTCACCTTTCCATTGACAATGATTCGGTAGTCACACTCATTTGTTTTTTCCTGCACGCTGTACGGACCTTGCCATTGCATGAGAAGCTTGTTGCTGGTTGATGGGAGAAGAATTAGGACTTTATCACCGGCTTCCAGCTTTCTGTTCCTCGCTTTGCGATCGTAGTTGTACTTGTATCGTGACTGGGCCTTCCCCAACTCCTTTTGCGCCAGTGCCATCGTATCCTCTAGCCGCTCACGGAGCTCAAATACATACTGGTAGCTCGTCTTCACCTCAGCCGTCTCGCTTTCGCTGGTCCAGAGCTCTCGTAATATCCTCATCGGTCCGCGCACCGTTCTGCCGTACAACAGCTCGAAAGGCGAGAACCCAGTGGATTCTTGTGGGACCTCCCTGTACGCGAACAGCAGTGCATTGATGTAGCGGTGCCACAGTCTTGGCTGCTCGCTACTGAGACGTTTCAGCATCATCTGTAGCGTGCCGTTGAACTTTTCCACTAAGCCATTACACATGGGGTGGTATGGTGTGGTTGTTAAATGGCGTATATTGAGTAGCTCAGAGACCTCTTCCATGCAGTTGGATACGAACTGTCGTCCCAGATCGGTGAGCATTTCATCGGGAACACCGAGCCTGCTATACAAGTCGATCAGAGCTTCAGCTACAGCTTCGGCAGTGCAGGTCTTCAGAGGGACTGCTTCGGGATACCGAGTTGCGTAGTCAACGAGGGTCAGGATGTACCGATGTCCCTCTTCGCTGGGCGGGTGAATCGGTCCGTTCAGGTCCAGGGCCACTCTCTGAAACGGGCGGTCGATCAGCGGCATCTTACCCAACGGCGCCTTACCAACTGATCCCTTTGGTACAGTCCGCTGGCACACATCGCACGAATGGCAGAATCGGCGCACGTCTGCTCCAAGACCTGGCCAGTAGAAGCTGGATAGAATTCTCTCAGCCGTCTTCTTAGCGCCGACGTGGCCGGCTAGCAGTGATTCATGGGCGACTTTCATGACGTGCTCGCGTAGCCCTGTTGGTAAAACTACCTGTCGGGTACTTTTCTTGGCGCTGCACCCCGAATCATCGAAGACACGGTAGAGAATGCCCCGACTTTTTTCGTACCTCACCATCTTTCCCTCTCTTTTCCTTGCCTCCCACCCATCAGTGAGTTTCTTCAGAGTTTCGTCCTCTTGTTGGAGTTTAATGAGCTCGTCTCGGGTCACAGTGGTACCGCCGATGAGGTCACTTTGTCTGAGCACCCCGCGTCCCTTTTGTGACTGAGCCCGGGTGATCGCGGCGCCTCCCGTCTGGCTTGCCGGCTCTGTCGCGCGCCACTCGGGATCCGGGTCGTTCGGAGCGCGAGCTCCAGGAACTTGGCCGATGATGAGGTCGTATACGGCGTCGGGCAAGCACAGAGCCTTGACTTTTCCTATCAGGAATGGCGTGTTTACGCATATCATGGCCACTGGTACGCGGCGCACGGTGTTGTCAATCAGGAGCATAAGCGATGTTTCTCCCGTCAGCTCCTCGTCCTTGACGAACTCCCGTTTCACCACTACGGTACTGCACCCGGTGTCTCGCAGGGTGTTCACCATGACGTCGCCAACCTGACCCTTCACAACGGGCATATTGGTACGTGCGTCCGTTCGACGACTCAAACTTGCGCCATTCACGATGGGAATCTACCTTCCATTGGCTAATTTGAGCTCATTATCGCTCAAACACTCAAGTATGTCTTCTTCTGTCGCCTTATTTCCACGGGCAATGACCGGCGTGGGTGACCGTGGGGATGATGTTAAGGCGGCGGCCGCCTCGTGCGGACCACCTTCGAGCGCCCCGTCGCCCCGATTGCCTTCATTGTCCTCTGTTTCTGACGGCAGAGCTTCAGCTGCAGCTCCCCTTGGCACCCAGCCCCTGCGATCGGAATCTGTGTTGCCCGGTCCATTGGTACCTCTCGGGACGGTCCCATTATTGTACCGCTGAGCCATTTGAGAATCACGCTGGCGGCACTCTACAGCGCGGTGCCCCAGCCGGTTGCAGTTGTAACATCGTATACGGCTCTGGTCCCGCCGATTATACACGGTACCGTATGGTCCGCCGCTACGCCCTGCACTTCCTGCTTGAGTGGTAGACTCGTCCCCCCTTGGCTGCGAAGATGCGAGTGACCGGTCGTGAGCAGCGAGATATTTGTCCGATATTTCTACCACTTGGGGAAGATCCGTCGGCGTTCGCTCTCGGAGATGCACGGCAAGGTCACGGGGACAGCTGTTCAAGTACTGTTCTCTTATCATCAAGTCTCGAATGCCAGCAAAAGTCTTTGCTGTGTCTGACAGTTCTATCCATCTGTTAAGGTATCCAGTCAGTCTCGAGATGAACTGTTTTGGGCATTCGCCCGTCTCAGGCTTTGATGAGCGGAATTTCTCCCGGAATCCATTTTCGGTCATAGCATAGCGTGTCAACAGCGCTTGTTTCAGGGCACCGTAGTCCTCAGCGTCCTCATCGGATATCCTGGAATACACTTCCAGCGCTCTTCCAGTCAGCAGTGCGCTCAACCGTGTGGCCCAGCTTTCTGTTGGCCAACATGAGCTCTTGGCGAATCGCTCGAAGCGCTGTAGGTAGCAATCGATGTCGTCTTTTCCGTCCACATATGTCGGTAGTTTCGGAACGGACACTACTTCGGATGCTGCACCCCCTTGCCTTTGATTTTCCGCTATATGTGCAGCCTGCAGCTCGATGTTTTTCATCTCCAATTCGTGTGCTCTCATTCTCTCTCGTTCTTCTCTTTCACGCTCTTCTCTTTCGCGTTCCCACTCCATCTCTTCCCTCCGTCTTGCTTCTTCCATCTCTGTCCTTCGTCTCGCTTCTTCCCTTTCCTGCATCCTCTCTTCTCTTTCTACCGCCTTTTGAATGAACTGCTGTAACTTCTCTCCTTCTAAGCCGAGCTTCTGTCCTGCTTCCAGCAATCGTTCGAAATTAGGAAGATCCATATTAATTATCTTTGTCGGCTAATCGTTCAGTTTGGTTGCGTTACGTTACTTACCCAGCAAAATTACTCATCTTTCATATCCCGGACGAGCCCCCAGTGTCACGGGTTTTCTATGTATTTTTACCAATACTCGGCAATTATCAAGCACCTAACACTGTTCTTCCAAAAACTCCCCCAAGCCAACATCCCTCTCCTTCCCGATTTTCTCTGGTCTAAATCTCTCGCGACACAGTTATACATCACGTGACATGCCGCTTGAGATCTTTCACCAATATAGGTTACACAGAGCGTGACAGAGGCCTTTTGAGGGTCTCTTGACGTCAGCTGAGGACCGTTGGACGCCAGCTGAGGATCGTTTTTGGGCCTTCTGATGGCCATTAGACGCCAATGGATGACCCTCTGACACCAACTGGGGCCCTCTGACACCAGCTAAGGGCACTTTAAGTTTGACGCTAGCCCAGGGCCCTCTGACATTAGCTGGGGGGCCCTTTGACATTAGCTGGGGGGCCCTCTGACATTAGCTGGGGGGCCCTCTGACGCTAGCTCAAGGCCCTTTGACGCTCTTTAAGGCCTTCTGAGGGCCCCTTGAGGTCTTCTAAGGGCCCCTTGAGGCTTTTTGTGGGCCGCTTGACGCCAACTGAGGACCGTTTGAGGCCTTCTGATGGCCATTTGGCGCCAGCTGGGGGCCCTCTGTCACCAGCTAAGGACCCTTTAGAGCCTTCGGAGAGCCATTTGACGCAAGGGCACGGCCCTCTGACGCCAGCTCAGGGACCTTTGACACCCTTTAAGGCCTTCTGCCGTCCGTTTGACGTTAGCTGAGGGCCCTTTGACTTGAGGCTATCTGAGGGCCCTTTAAGGCCATCTGAGAGTCATTTGAGGTCATCTGAGGGCTCCTAAAGGCCATCTGAGGGCCCTTTGACACCATCTAAGGGCCCTTTGACACCAGATGAGGGCCCTATGACGCTAACTGAGGGCCCTTCGAGGCCATCTGAGGGCATTTTGAGACCATCTGATCTGAGGGCCCTTTAAGGCCATTTGAGGGCCCGTTGTACACGGTCTTCGGTGGTCTAAGGATTAGTTAGAGGCCCATTTGAGGCGGCCTTCGGCCGCCTCAAATGGGCCCCTTCCTTCGAGTTGGGCCCCCCAACTCGAATGGGGGGGCACGGGCCCGTGTGCCCCCCCCCTTGTGTGCGCCCTTGATTACCTTTACGCCGGCAGCCCGAAAAAATACGGATATTTTGCGCATTTTTGCATGTCTGGCGCACCTCCTATCAAGCATTAGTTGTGCTTGTTTTAGGCTTAACCTACCTGATTCTTAGAAGTTTTATATGGAAAATTGGAAATAATCATGGCACAAGCCATTACTGTACCTGTGTGCCTGTAAAAGAACTGTGATTAACTGTCAGAAACAGCCGGTGCGCCTCGCGGCGTCCCGGCAGCCCGCCGCCATAGGGAAATTCATGTTTTTTGTCGTTTTTTCGCTTCTTATGGGTCACTTGATCTAATTCGAGCTTACCTAGGAACGAGGCGGATCACTGACGCATTTGGGAGTCGATTACGTTGTTTTGGTGCCAATACCTGGTAAACTCTATCCGCCCAATCCGAGTTTCTCAGAGTCTACACGCCCAAATTAACGTTGAGCACGGCTGTTTTCGGTCGGTTTTCCGCGACCTTTCGGCGAAATACCTAGGCCTTGACATCGACAGCAAACTGTCATGGGAAAAACAGGTCAGCAACATCAGTCAGTAGGAAGGCATCGAACACCCTGGCTTTTGTATTTCAGTTGAGACAAGTATAATAACACGGACTGCGCCATGACTGTACGCTAATCCTATTCCGTTTGTGATGCGAATTACCGGCCGTCGAGGAGTCAGCCCGGGTGAGCCAAACAAGATCCGTTTGACGTAGATAAAACGAATTAATCTCATGTAACCGGTGCCGTAGATACGTTTGTGGGGAGCTGATGCGCATTAGCGTAGGTAGTGCGTATTTGGAACGGATCGCTCATGTAACCCCGGTAATAGACCAGTGGTGGAATTGTCCAGCGCTTATTTTGGCCCGCAGCTGATGTGGCCAGTGCTCGCAGTGGCCAGACTCCATTTTGTAGGTATTGGCGGTAATACTCTGAGTCGGCGGCGCCATATCCAATCAGGAAGGGTGAGGCAGCGACGGCTATGAATCCTGACCAATCAGCGCTCACCACGTGCCAAGGAGCGGAGCATCGCATCCTGACCAATTAGTGCCAATGGGCGGGGCATCGAAAGCGTTCTGCGGCGACGGTGGGAAGTTCGAGCTATTGGTCTGATGAGCGGGGTCGTCTCCGCAACTCTGTCGGCGGTAAAGGCACGCTCCCTCACCAGAGCCCGGCACGGACCGGGGGAGGGGTAGTTTACACGGTGCGGCGGCGATGGTGTGATGGAAAATCACAAGACCCGTACTGGTTTTTGGTTTCGGAGACATGACCTTGTTTTTCAGGTCATGTCATGACCCAAATGACCAATTCTTAACATCTTGCAATGGCTATGGGTCTTGTGAGCTTTTGACACCTTGAGTTCGGATGTTTTTGCTAGTCTTACCTCCCACCTATCATGGTACATGTTATTCGATGATATGCAGATGTCAGGGTCAGGGTCAAGGTCAACCTAGGTCATCTAAAAACATTGCATTTTTGGCTTGCTGAATTTACTTTTCGTGAAGTTTTTTTTTACTGCATTTTTGGTAAAAGCTTCTCAGATCATGATATCATGTAAAAGGGACACACAAACCAATCGGTGCACACATCAGTATACACACAGACACACACAGACATACAAACACATCGTTGACCTTGACCTAGCTTGACCTGAAATGACCACAGTCAGTGAAAACCTAGTCGGATAGTGTGACAAAGAGCTGTTCTAGCTGGCCTGGCACCACATACGGCAGCGCCATCAGTATATGATGGGCACCGCATGTGATATTCCAACGGTGGCCCCAAACAGCAACATTTTTAGTTTGACCTGACTTGGAAGGTCAATGATTGACCTGGTGAGGTAAAATTGGGTACCATTGGATTCGTCTCTTCCCAAAAAATTTGTTGGTCCTTGCCGCAAAGCTCTATCTCCAGCAGGAACGAAATGGCGTGGGGGCGTTCTCTTGAGCGCATGTGTAGTAGTGGTGTCGATCGGTTACCAAAATTTCGGTATACTGATACCGAACCGAACTAATACCGATTCGGTATTCGGTATTATATACCAAAAGTATTTGGTATTTTGTCAGTATTATGAAAGTCAACTAGGGGAAGTTGGGGGAACGCCGAAGACTTTTTTTCTGACGCCCGTAGCACGCAAGGTAGACAACATACGCTATTCTTGTTGGCGTCATTCGAGAGGCCAGTCTTTTGCCTTTCAAACATACCAGGCGCATTTGATGAATTCGCATACCGTTAAGCGCACAAAGTAAAAATATCAAAGAAGTGACTTTTTCGGCGTTGCCCCGGACTGCGGGGAAAGCCGAAAATGGGAGAAATGATCTACGGGGAATGCCGACATTGATGTTTTGCCATTTTATCTCAAACTTTATCCAGAATTCATCAAAGCTGACACACGTTTCAAGAGCTTGAGGACGCGGTGCACACTGGAAGTTATAATTGTGTGATATAAT